TGATTCCTGTAAAGTTTAGGGCTGGAATGCTGTTAACACTATTGAACACACCCACACTTTAGCACCTGCAGTTTTACAAGCTCAAGTTAGAAAACCTATCATATTAATAAAAATAAAAATATTATCTCTAAATTTTAATAAGCATTGTAGAATTATGTAATAAGGCCCTCCATAATTCTGATAATTACCACCTTTCATCTAAAGGGCAAGCCAACATATTTCAAACAGTTGATTAAAAATATTGAGCTATTGATATGGAGAGCAACACTATTTTTAAAAATTCCAAGTGTTCAAAAGACTCAGAAAGCTGTAGAAGTATTCAAGTAAGATGCTCAGGAGTAATAATGACTACCATATCACTCTATCTTGGACTAAAAACTAAAACAAAAGAGGCAAACAAAAAAACAGAATTAGCTTATTATAAAGAAAAAAGAACAACATTTATATCTATCAAACTTATTCTAGTAGGTAAGAGAGGAATATATATGTCTTTTTATATATTATCCTTTTAACATATTGTTAGGTTTGTCAATATTCTGCAGAAGATTTTTGTGTTCATGTTCATGAGGGTTACTGATCTGTAGTTTGGGTTTTTTTTCTTGTATTAATAATATACTTGTCTGGTTTTGATATCAAAGTAATGCTGGCTTCATAAAATGAACTAGAAAGTCTTTCCTCCTCTTTTATTTTTCTGAAGGAGATCACATTATTTCTTCCCTAAATGTTTGGTAGAACTCTGCAGTGAAACCATGTGAGTATGGAGTTTGAGTATGGAGTGGAGTTGTTGGGAGGTTTTAAGCTATTAATTTAGTTCCTTAATAGATATAGGATGTTCACATTATCTAATTTTTCTTGAAGGAAACTTGGTAGTTTATGCCTTTAAAGAAATTTGTCTGCTTGATCTAAGTTCTCAAACTTATAGGAATAAAGCTGTTTGTAATATCTGGTACTCCAATGACATGAATATTGCACATTTTGATATTGTCCCACAGGTTGCTGAGGCTCTGTCCATTTTTAAAATCTTGTTATCCCTGTTTTTCAAACTCATTGATCTCTATTGATTTCTCTTGAAGAGATTCTTTGATTCTTTCCTCTGTCTTCTCTATTCTGCTACTTAGCACATCTATTGAATCTTTTATTTTATACATTGTATTTTTTCTTCTAAAATTTCCTTTTTTCTTTCTTTTTCTTTCCTTCTTTCTTTTTTATTTATTTTTTTTTTTAGAGACAGAGTCTCACTCTATGACCTAGGCTGGAATGCTGTGGTACACTCATAGCTCACTGCAGCCTCCAATTCCTGGGCTTAAGCAAAGCAATCCTACTGCCTCAGCCTCCCGAGTAGCTAGGACTATAGGTGTGCACCACCATGCTCAGCTATTTTTTTTTTTTTTTTTTTTTTAGAGATGGGGTTTTGCTATGATGCCCAGGCTACTCTTGAACTCCTGGTCTCAAGCAATCCTTCCACCTCAGCCTCCCATCTGCAAAGCCAGTAGGGGAATTACTCTCACATGGAATCCCTCCCACACTTTGCATCTCTCTGACCTCTCCTCCATCACTGAAAGGGCTCGTGTGATTAACTGGCCCACCTAGATAATATCCCTATCTTAATGTCAACTGGTTTGGGACTTTAGTTATCTGCAAAATTCTTCACAGTACCTGAGTTAGCATTTGATCAAACAATTGGATGTTACACCAGGGGCTAGGAACCACAAGGCCATCTTAGAATTCTGTCACCACAGGGTTGTATCAGAAGGACACAAGAGGCCAGGCACAGTGGTTCACACCTGTAATCCTAGCACTTTGGGAAGCCGAGGTGGGAGGATCACTTGAGGCCAGGAGTTCGAGACCAGCCTGAGCAACACAGTGAGAATCCATCTCTACAAAAAAAAATTAAAAATTAGCCAGGCATGGTGGCACACACCTGTAGTCCCAGCTACTTGGGAGGCTGAGGCAGGGGGATCACTTGAGTCCAGGAGTTTGAGGTTGCAGTGAGCTATGATGATGCCACTGCACTCTAAGTAGGGGGACACAGAGAGACCCTGTCTCTAAACAAAACAAAAACAGGACACAACATACAACTGTCAATGCATATAAATCACTAGAATATAATTTAGATCTGTAGACTCAAGAGAATCCAATAGCTGGAATTGTTTAAAAGTGACCTTAATCAGAGTGTCTCAGGCAGCCTCAGTATTGTTAGAGATCGCTGATAGTATCTATCAATCATCTATCTACCTAGCGGAAAGATAGTGAAAACATACATTCCAAGTACTATGGAGGGAGAGGGGCCTGAAATGGTGTCCACTATGAGTTCCCTACGGCCATTATGTTATTTCATCCCCATCCTGCTTCTCTGAGGTGTTAGTGTCCCCATTTTCTGAGGAGAATACCAAGGCTCAAATTGTATAGTGAATGACAGTGTTGCACAGCAGACGCTGACTTTCATACATGACCCATGTAAATGCTAAAGTGCACTGCCAACATGAACCAGTATTGATGCAATAAATAATACAACATATTTTAAAGGAGGGAGGGGAGGGGCAACTTGAAGGACTCCCAATGGCTAAAACTGGGATAATTTGTGCAATGAAATAACGATAGCAATGAATAACTCACAGACTAAAATATATGCCCACTAGTCCATACTGATATTAACAAAGAACTTAATAAAGAAATGGGGGTGAAAGGAAAGCTGTTCCTTTACAGAATTCCAATTAATAAATGTTGAAAGCATGATAGAAATAGAATATTACCATTTGACATATACCATTTGCAGTAAGTATTTCAGGCAAGAATCAACAGATCCTAAAATGTGTGGGCAGAATATAAGAAATGAGATATTTACTTAAAGTATCTTCCCAGAGGTATTAAATACAAAAGAGAAGACAGTAACTTTACAAGAGAAACTGGCAGATACCACCTTCACCAGGTAATCAAAGTTATGATTACTGATGAGACAAGATGACATCTTGTGGCTATTGGTATGATACACTAGGAAGGATCCAACACTTCCATCAAGTTCTTACTAAGAATACATAATTATGAGAAACATCAAACCAAAACTGAGGGCCATCCTACAAAATACCCAACCAGTACTCTTCAGAAAATATCAAGGTCATGAAAGGCAAAGAAATTCTGAGGAATTTTTTTTAAAGGAGACACAACTACTAAATATTAATATCATGACCCTGAATTGGATCCTGGGCTTCTTAGAAAATGAACGTTAGTAGGACAACAGTGAAAGTTGAATAAATTCTATACATTTCATTATTTTTTTACATTTCTGACATATATCCTGTAAAATAGTGGTCTGAAGTCACTCTTTCCATATCCTCATAATTGCATGTTAGAATTATACCAATGTGAATTTCTTGATTTTCATAACTGTACTGGAGTAATTCATTATATAATCTAGGTGAATGGTTATAAAACTTTTTAAACCTAAACCTTATCTCAATTTATCCATAATGAAATTTTGTCAAGTTACCTGAGGTTTACTTACTAATTTATTTTTAAGATGGAGTCTATGTTGCCCAGGCCACTCGCAAACTCCTGGCCTTCCAAACTGATGGGATTACAGGCATGAGCCACCATGTTAGCCCTAAACAACTTTTCTTAAAAGATGGAATTATTTCAAATCTCTCTCTATATATACATACACACACACAGTCCCTGACTTATGATGGCTTGAACAACAATTTTTCAACTTTACCATGGTGTGAAAGCAGTATGAATTCAGTATGTTCAACTTATTATGGGGTTATGTTGTCATAAACCCATCATGAGCTGAAAGTATCGTAAGTTGAACGTTTCAATTCCAATTCCTATCCTGCAGCTTCTAGTAACAGTTAAAGTAGAATGAAGTGGAACTATAGGAAGCATGTTTATTCTAATGAACAAGGTAGGTTCTCTGAATCTATCTTAAGATTACACAAGATGATGTATGTAAAGTACTTAGAACATTGCTTGACAATAAACAGTCTGAGGTAGATACTATTTATTATTTCTCATTTTACAGGTGAGAAATCTGAGGCTTGAAGATGAAAAATAACTTGCTTAAGGTTACATAGGTAGGAAGTGGCAGTACAAGACTTTGAACTGTGTCTGACCACATATTATACAGTTTGTCTTATTAATGTCAACCCATTCTTAAATCCTGCAGTACACACAAAACATCAAGTTTTCTCTCCCTCTCATTAGCATTTACCATCTTTCTTGAATTTTGGATCTAAGGTCATCAACAACAAAAAACACACAAGCAAGGAGGAGTTACTCAATTACAAAGCCAAAATTCTGGATGCAGTACAAAAGTTAATTAACTTAGTCACTGATACTCACATAACTCAAACACAAATTACTTACTTTATTTAACAATGAAATAGTAATAACAACACAATAATTTAGTTGTAACAAAGCCATGAACAGAGCAAAAAACCAAAGCTAATTAAGAGCATTGCTTCAGCTCAAATTAGTTATCTCCTTTAAACAGGAAAAAACTACCATTAGTCTAGCGGTTCTCAAACCTGTCTGCACGTTAGAGGAATGGACAGAAAGAGGATTGGTGCTTAAAAAAATAGCTATATCAAGGCCCACCTCAGAAAAATTAAATGAGAATCTCTCAAGAGTGGTTCCCAGGCAAAGATTCTTAAAGTGCTGTCAGTGTTGAGAACTACAGGTCTAGAGGAATAGCAATAAAAACCATGTCTTCAAAGCAATTCAAAACCAAGCAACTGATCATATATTTCTCCTTATTCTGGGAAAGGAGAAGGGGTCAGCCATTGACTCATTTCTCATTGCTCTTTATCCATTTTAGATTGCCCATAGATCTTAACAAGCATCAGATATCGCAAGTTATGCAAACATGCTACCCAAATTGAAATTCTCCCTACTTCACATTTAGAAAGCTCTTTCAGTTAAAACACTAGCTTTCAGAAAGAATCCCTCATATTTTAAATTTGCATAGATGTTCAAGTCAGCTTTGTTCAACTGAGAGTCAATAAAATGTATTAGAAAGTATTTTATTAGTAACAGCTATTATAAAACAACTATTTATTTCATGTACCACAAACAAACTTTTTGGTGCAGACCAGAGGAATATTTGAGTGTTTCCCACCTATTTCGAAAACTGCCAGAATTTCTTTTCATAAGATCACTATCTTCAAATTTAGAGTCTAAACAAAGCTTTTTTTCCTTCAGAATGCATACATAAAATACTTTCCCAACAACTGCACTATATCCTTGACAAATCCCTATTGAGAGGTTGAGTAGTAACTGCAGATATTTATTGTCAAAACAACCTTTCCTCATTTTTCAGGTTTGGAAATGATATCACGTCAAGTATGGAAAATAACTTTTTCCTTAAGAATACATGAATTCACTTAGAGATGTTTCCTCAAATTCAATGAATCCCACTTATTCAGTTCCTTATGTCAGGACTCCATGTCAATCTCAGCCACTTCATTCTTGTCCTGAAGTGTTGCTTCTGTCAGGTTGTCTTTAGTCGCATCTTCAATGTCTGCCAGATCAATAGGTGGTAAAGGATTCCTCCAGTACTGGAAGGAATTATACTGCCAAAATTCCTCATTGTGCTTTACGGAAAAAGAGAGAGAGAGAGAGAGACAGAGAGAGAGAGAGATGAAAGTACATCAGTGGCTTAGAAAAAGTTAAATTTTTTCAGGAAACAATCTGTTTTAAAAGCAAACTCACATAAGAGTTTGCATTTTTGGCCGGGCGCGGTGGCTCACGCCTGTAATCCTAGCTCTCTGGGAGGCCGAGGCGGGCGGATTGTTTGAGCTCAGGAGTTCGAAACCAGCCTGAGCAAGAGCGAGACGCCGTCTCTACTAAAAATAGAAAGAAATTGGCCAAACGACTAAAAATAGAAAAAATGAGCCAGGCATGGTGGCGCGTGCCTGTAGTCCCAGCTACCTGGGAAGCCGAGGCAGGAGGATCACTTGAGCCCAGGAGTGTGAGGTTGCTGTGAGCTAGGCTGATGCCACGGCACTCTAGCCCGGGCAACACAGTGAGACTCTGTCTCAAAAAAAAAAAAAAGTTTGCATTTTTAACAAATATACATTTTTGCCTCATCAAAGTATTTTGTGTACTCAATCAAATCTGTGCATTTTAATACTTATAGATTTGTGAAAGTATTTATTGGCAGATTAAATTTTTAAAAATGTTTTTAAGAGGCAGGGTCTCGGCTGGTCTGATGGTAGTGGGTCATCAGAACTTATTAACATTAGTGTCACTAAAGTTGGTATACAATCCCCCACTGCTAAATTTGACTGGCTAAAAAAAAAGAGCCAGAGAGAGAAGACTGGATCTCACTCTGTCACCCAGGCTGGTGTGCAGTGGCCGGATCATAGCTCACTGCAGCTTTGAACTCCTGGCCTCAAGCAATCCTCCCACCTCAGCCTCCCAAAGTGCTAGGATTACGGGTATGAGCCACTACATCTCGATCTCTCCCATTTTTAACCCAAAGAAAATATCTGAAAATGGTCTTAACATTTTTTATCTGTCAATGAAGAAAATAAGAATTTATTTAAAAAATACATAATCACACACCCCTTATAATGTATATTTGGTCTTTTTTTGAAGACCTTCCAAAAGTATTAGGGCATGAACACGGTGAATAGCAAGAAAACCTTAAACTGATTTTACTAAAGACACCACTTCACGCATGACATGACTAACTTTTAAATCAATATATCAAAATTTTGTAAATCCAAATGAATGCTGACCCCTTAAAAATTCAGCAGCTTACTCTGAATGGCTACAAAATTATTTCAAGTAACTATGAAATAAAGCTGATGTTCCAATGAAGTTCAAAATTGGCACAGAATTTCACAAGCATCCCTAAAATTCTTTGTGCAAAGGAAACAGCATTGAAATTACATATAGGCTTCTAAGGTGACAATTCTGAACATTAACACCTTTTCCAGATTGGTATCTCCATCTATTCGACTATGTTGTGTTCTTGCTATAGCAGTACCAACAGAAATATAATGGAAGGCACATATGTAACTTAAATTTTTCTAGTAACCACAGTACAATAAATGAAATGGGTGAAATTAACCTTAGTATCTTATTTGACCTAATATACCCAAAATATTGTTTCAACATGTAGTATTTTAAAAATTAATATTATACATTCTTCTGGGTCATACTACTAAGTTTCCAAAATCTGGCATGCATTTTACACTTCCAGCACTATTCAGACTACTCACTTCTCAATGCTCAATAGCTACAAGTGGTTTAATGATTACTGTACTGGAGAGCATAAGTCTCTAAAAAAGTCTCATTGGGAAGAATTGTTTTACACTCTAAGGCTTATGGAATCAAGAGTCTTTTGAGAATTTCTTAATCTTGGGATAAAGATGTAATAAGTCAAAGGATATCAAGAAAAATTTCACTTTAATAACAAGATGGAGTTAAAAACAAGGTTCTGGTTCTCTTTGCGTTTTGGAAAATCTATTGTTCAAATTAACTACTTATAAAAGCTGAATCAAAAAAAGGTCCTTTAATGTTAGTATAACCTAGTAACTAAGGGCACAAACTGTGCCACCAGACAAACCTGGGTTTGCCAGATAACTCTACCATCCACTAACTCTGATCTTGACCTCATCAGTAAAATGGAGAACCATTATAAGAATTAAGGTTTAAAAAAAAAAAAAAAAAAAAGAATTGTGGTTTAGCATAGCAATTGCTCAATATTGCTAGGTATTATGTATCAATAAGCCTATGAATCATGAATCACTTTCTTCTTAGAAAAACATTTCCACTGACTTTCTGTTAAAAATATGGACGACCAAGAGGCACCAATGGCAGAGCAATGAACCTGTATAAAGTAACACTAACATTAAAAAAACACATGAACACCTGATTTTATTTTAGTTCTCTAGTAAAAAACAACTGAAACAATTTAGGAAATATTCCGAAGTTCCAGGACAGAAACGGTGTACCATTATTCTGCCTAGATTCCATTCTCAATGTAGAAAGAAAGTATTTGAAATAATATTTCCTAAATGAGGTCTCAAGGGTGAGGGAAGAAACTTAAGCCCTATTCTTAGCACAACAGAGACCAGGCATTTACTGCATTGAACTGAAAAATCTTTTTACTTCTCTATGTTTTTGATATATCTAGTTCTCCCTTGGAAATTAGCTGTAAAACCCTTAAAACAAAAAGCCTGTGTCTTTGGAGGCAGGAAGCAAAGAGGGAAACTGGAGAGAGAGCATGTCCCTCAGTTGGGTTTGCAGAAGAAGCAGATCCAGGAACAAACCTAATGAAAAGAAGGAACATGTGGTTACTGGGCTTTTGTCAAAAGACTAGTCTTGGTGAAGGAACCCCTGGAGCCAAACTTTTTCCCTGCCAGGTACTTGCCACGACTTGAGGAAATTAGAGAGCTGCCAGATCTACAGTCACTGCTGTGGGGGAAGATACAGGTAGGTCTAAGAGATTCTAAAGCAGGTGTCTTTGTGGCAGTCTACTGAACAACTGCCATTCTTCTGCCAACCTCTCATTTCCTTATTTCCCTCTTATCAACTGTGTGGCATACTGCAGCCAATGTATTCTGGTAGGAAAGACAAACCTATGGGTGGGGTACCAAAAAAAAGTGAAAAATTTTCAAAAAGTTTTCAACCTACAGTCCCTATTTCCAAATCCAATCGGTTTGGATGACTATCATTATCATTCTAAATGAGCTGATTTTGAATATCTAAGAGCAATCTGAAGAAAAAAAGTCTAAAATAAAGTTGTTTTCTAAATTCCAAGAAAAAAAACCCCAGGGGTAGAAATATTTACAATGTAATAATTTCATCCGAAATGATTAAATCTAAAAAGATACCTAAAATATAATTTCTGACAACCATGGGAGTGGGCGGGGAGAATCGCTCTGAACTATAAAACTTTCATTACTTTATTGGCTTTTTCACATGAAAATTCATCATGCTACAGAAACTTCAATTTTTTCTTAGAAAATCATCTGATAAACTCTGTCATAAAATACTGAATAGAAAAATGTTGGGTGAGTGCTATGCTGCAGTGGTTGAAGAAAGTTTGGTGAATTCTGAGCCCTTAACTTAGTTCTTCCATTCCCAAAACCCCCGGGGTAAGTCATTCTACAACTGTGAAAAAGCAGTCTGAATTCCTAAGTCTAGACCAAAGCTGTAAATACATGTGAGTCACAAACATAATTTAAAAATTTTCTAGTAGCCATATTAAAAACGTAAAAGAAACTGGTGAAATTAATTTTTATTCAATCCAATACGCCCAAATTATTTCACATGTAAGCAATATAAAAATTTGAGCTATTTTATCTTTCTTTTTTTCTTATTAAACCTATGAAATCTAGAGTGTATTTTACACTCACAGAACATCTCAATTTGGACTAGTCACATTTTAAATGTTCAGCAGTCTCACATGACTAGTGGCTGTCATACTAAACAGCAGATATCTAGGCAAATCTAGACAAACCTAGATCTTCTCAGGATTCTTAAGGTGCAGAGGAAGGCTCATTTCCAGGGAAGCAGGATCGGCCCCCAGTGATCCTCACACGTGCTTTATACCTTAGGGCCCTAATTAATTTTCAACAAGAATCCGTTTTCACAGGATCAGATTTAACACTAAGTTTAAAAAGCTTTTCCCAAGAAATGGTGGTCCTTCCTCTCTGGCAAAAGAGCTGTAACAGCCTACACTACGTCCAATTCATTGACGGCTACCACATTAGTCGCCCTCTAAAGAATCCATCACCAATTCTAGAATAATCACCGTTACACCAAGGCAGGCACGCTGCACCTTTTTCTAATGTTTGTCGTTGGGCTGAACCTGTCTCTGTTCCCGGTCAACGTCTTTACCAGGTTCTACGGCCAGTCATGACCCACGCTCCAGCTTCTCTCTCACAAAGTGGCCGCGCTGAAGCGGCAAGGCCACTTCCCCCCACGCGAACACCGTCCGTCTAGACTGCGGAAGTGCTTTCCGCCCGTCGGACTCCCTCGTGTGTTGCCTGCGGGGGTCAGCGTCCATTCCCAGAGCGGTGACGCCGGCTTTTCGCCTTGGGAGGGGCCTTAACGAACACAGTCACGACGGGGGCTATCTGTTCCCTCCCGGGACGCGCTGTGTGTCGCACGAAAGACAAGCCCCTTCTCCCCCTCACCCACCCGCCCCAGCTCCTACCTGGCGCGGGGCGGCCCCCCAGTCTCCGCTCTGGGGCCCTGCGCGCCCCGCCCCGTCGTCGCCACCGCCCCCCGGGGGCCGGGAGTCCCGGAGCTCCTCCCCCGGCCCTCGGGGCTGAACGGGCTGCTGCAGCTGCGGCGGCTCGCCCGTTTCCAGGCCGCGGCCCTCAGACTCTTCGCCGCCTGGGGCGCTGCTGTCCCCGCTGTCACGGCGCTTGCTGGGCAAAGCTGAAGGCTCTGCCATGGCCCCCGCCTCGATTTTGCGCTTTCGGTGCAGCTCCGGGACGCCGAGAGGCTGCCCGGTATGCGAGGCCCCCGGCGGCCGGATCCAGAGCGGCGAAGACGGCGGCGGCTCCTCCGTGAAGTCGCAGAGCAGGAGCCGCTTCCAAGGCACGTGGAACGTCACCGGCTCGGCCGCACGCCGCTTGGCCATGGGCCCGGAGGCTCGGGCTCCCGCCCGGCGCGGGAGATCGAGCGCCGATAGTTACGGGTGTGGTGTGGAGGGCGAGGGCGGAGCGCGCGAGGGCGAGGCCGAAGTCCAGCGAGGCTTCGACAGGCCGATGGAGAGGGTGGAAGGGGCGGGGCGGCCTGGCCCGGCTTGGGCGCAGCCCGCGCACACTACCCTCGCGGCCGCCGAGGTGCGGCCTGGGCGTTGGGGAGCAACCGCGAAACGGCGGAGATTCGAACCTGCGCACAGCGTGCGCGCGCGCTCGCGCCGGCCGGGCGGAGCTGCTGGTTGGTGGAGGCTCGCGGGGCGCGCTCCCGAGCGCTCTCACGGCCGGAAGTGCGCGCCCCGGGGGGAGGCGGGAAGGCGGCGGCGAGCTCATTAAAGCCCCAGTCGTGCGGCCCGCGGAGGGGCGTGACTTTGTTTTCTCGGGGGTGTGGCTGCGGTTGTTCTGCTCCGGGCTAGGTGAAGCAGAGTACCTTCTAGACACTTCTTGAGATTTAAGACGTGTTCTTAAGTGTCTATTAGGGTTTCCTTCTTCAAGTCAGTGACTACGGGGACATCTCCACGACTTTAGGACAAGAATTGTACAAACTTTAAATAAGGTAGTGTTAAGAGGCTTTATGCTAGGTTATTATTCAAAACAAACGACTGAAGGCAAGTCAGGCAAAAGCTAACATGCAAAAATCACAGACAAAAAATGAAGTGTGCATTTTGGGGCGGCTGCTGTAGAAATTGAAGTAGGCACCACATTCCTCGAAGATTTCTTGATTTAAAACTTCCTGATGAAGTTGCAGACGAGATGTGCAGCTCTTCCAAAATAGCTGAGTAGTTGGCAAGAACGAAGCCTGGAGCACAGCTCTTCTCTTTTCCAACTGAAACCTAAAATTGTTTGGCTCTGAAATTATGTATGGAGTCTGAGTTCCCTGCTTAGCTCTGTGCGGTGATCAGTCCATATTCCAAAAGTTTCATTATAGCAAAATTGTGTGTTAGGCAAAGTGAGGTGGAGACGACCAAAGCATATTTACTGTAGCTTATATTTTAATCGTTTGATAAAGACAGTAACCACGTAAACAAAACCGGAAGAAAATAGGACTATATCAGTGCTTTGGAGGGAGAAACTAATATTCTGAAGAAACAGTATGCAAGGAAGATTATTTTAGCTGGTAGGTACTATCTAAATATTAATTACCCCATCCCCCGACGCCTCAAAGTGGTTGTGAGAGGATGGGTTGATTATTTAGTTCACAAGCACAAAAATATAACAAGGTAGGGTAGTAAACAATAGCATTTCTGTTTGATCTTTCCATTCTTTTGTAAGAAATTGATAACCCATCTGTCTCAAACAGATGAAGAATTTGCCGTTTTCAAACCAGTGGTACAGATCGTCCATGAAAGAGTTTAATCCCAGCCGTCAGATGTTTTGTTTGAAAGGTTTTGAGGGGACCCTGCCCAAAAATGGTAGTGTAGTTTAGCTAATGGTTTATTGCTTTTGTGTTCCTCTCCACAGACTTTCTTTTTTTCTAAATTGTAAAATGTATCATATGCACAAGGTTGTATAAAACATGCATGTAGATAGAAGGACAGTAAGACACCCAGCACTCAGTTTCAGATATAGAATACTACCAGTACCAGAATATGACAAGCTCCCTATGTGTGCCTCTGCCCCTGGTGCCTCCCTCCCTTTCCCTCACTCCTGGTAATTGCTGTTTTGAGTTTTGAGTTAATCGTTCTTTTGCATTTTCTTTGTAACTTTCCCATCTGTATGTATATTCCTAAATAACATATTTTTGGTTTAGTGGGGTTTTTTCAACAGCTTTATTGGGGTCTAATTGACATACAGTAAACTGTATGTATTTAAAACGTGCAATTGTCCATAAGCATACACCTGTGAAACCATGACCACAATCAAGATAATGCACCTATCCATCACCCTCAAAAGTTTTATCGCCCCCCTCAGGTTACCACTGATTTACTTTCTGTCATTATAGATTAATTTGCATTTTCCAGAGTTTGATATAAATGGAATTATATATTATATACTATGTTTGGCTTCTTTCAGCATAATTATTTTGAGATTCATCCATGTCGTTTCATGTTCTTTCATTTTTATTACCAAGCAGTATTCCATTTGTATGGGTATATCATAATTTGTTTATCCATTGATCTGTTGTTGAATATGTGGGTTGCTTCCTGTTTGGGGCTATTACAGATAATGCTGTTGAGAACATTTGTGTATAAGGCTTCGTATGGACATAGGCTTTCTTTTCTCTGGGTAAATACCTTTGAGTAGAATGACTGGATCATATTGTAGGGATATGTTTAACTTTTTTTTTTTTTACTTTGGATCGATCATTTACACCAAAATGTTTAACATTTTAACAAACTTCCAAATTGGTTTCCAAAGTGCTGTCCCATTTTACATTCCCACTAGCAGTGTATGAGTTCCACTTTCTACACATTTTCTCTGACACTTAGTATGTATTTTAGTCATCCTAAATAGGTATCTCATTGTAGTTTTAATTTGCATTTCCCGAATGACTAATGATGTTAAACATCTTTTCAGTGCTTATTTGCCATCTGTATGTCTTCTTTGGTAAAGTATTCAAATCCTTTGCCCATTTTTAAATTAGGTGGTTTGCTTTCTTATTTTCCTTATTTATATATTTTATATTTTTATGAATACAATGGTATTTTATTCTTTTATATTTATTCCATCACATGAATTCACTTCCCACTTCACTGTTGACAAACATTTGAATTTTTTCAGATTTTTGCAATTATAGTCTGCTATGAACATACTTGTTCATAATTTCTAAGGCACATGTGTTAAGAATATCTATCTAGAATGGAATTACTGAGGTGTAGGGTATATGCATCTTCAACTTGATTAGGTAATGCTAAAGTTTTCCAAAGCGCTTTTACTAGTTTAATGCTCTTAATAGTAATAAATGAGAATTGTTTTCTTGACATGTCCTCACCAATAAACTTCGTATGGTCTGATCTGATCAATGTGAAATGGTTCTCTTTGTGGCTTCAATTTGATCTCCCCCAATGAAGTTGGGCATCATTTTATGTTTATAGACCATGCCCAGAGCAGTAGTCCAGGCCTTTTGCTCTTTGTGATGCCTTTTGTTAAATGAATTCTAATCTTAAATGTGGTCTAAATTGTCAGTCTTTTCTTTAATTGTTTATAGTTTATGCTTTTTTTGGTCTCGTTTAGGACTTAGGCTGTTTTACCACCACCTCTGCTTCAAGACCACCCTTCCAGGGACCCCAGCCTCTGTTGGGCTCAGTTTGGATCTCTAGCCTTTGGTAAAAAGACTGGTATATTTTTTGCCTCTTTTAAAAATTGGATTGGTTGGTTGTTTTTTTCTTATTAGTTTGTAAGAGTCCTTTTTATTTTCTAGAAAGTAATTCTCTTGTGGTAATAGGTATTGTAAATATTATTATCTTCTCCCAGTTCGTGTCTTGTATTTTCACTCTCTATGGTGGCTTAATTTTAATGTTGTCAAGTTTATCAGTCTTTTCTGGTTTGCACATACTGAGTCTTATTTAAGGAATCCTTTCCTGTTTCAAGTTCTAAATGTTTTCTAGTTTTATATCTTTGCTTCCATATTTAAATCTTTCATCCGTTTGGAATTGATTTGTGTATGTATGGTGAGAGTAAGGACTCAGGTGCATTTTTCATTTTATTTGTTTGTTTATTTATTTTTTGAGACAGAGTCTCACTCTGTTGCCTGGGCTAGAGTGCCCTGACATCAGCCTAGCTCACAGCAACCTCAAACTCCTGGGCTCAAGCGATCCTCCTGCCTCAGCCTCCCAGGTAGCTGGGACTACAGGCATGCGCCACCATGCCAGGCTAATTTTTTCTATATATTTTTAGTTGTCCAGCTAATTTCTTTCTATTTTTAGTAGAGACAGGGTCTCGCTCTTACTCAGGCTGGTCTTGAACTCCTGAGCTCAAACGATCCTCCTGCCTCAGCCTCCCAGAGTGCTAGGATTACAGGCATGAGCCACCGCGCCCAGCCTCAAGTGCATTTTTCTACTTCATGTAGAATAAGTAGTTTTCTCAATACCACATATTGAATAATTGTCCTTTTCTCACTGCTGTGCAGTATCTATGTTGTCTTAAGTCAAATTTTCACAAATACGTGCAACTGGTTGGGAGCTCTCTATTCACTTCAACTGGTCTATTTGCTATCCTGGGCCATTACAATTGTGTCTTAATTACTATGGCTTCATAATAAGTTTTGACATCTTGTTCTTCAGGAATGTCTCAGCTATGCTTGGCCCTTTGAACAATATAGATGATTTCATATCGAATCATCTATAATTTGTTACCCTTTGGAATTTTGATTATAATTGCATCGAAACTGTAAATCAATTTGGGGAGAATTCTTTTCTTCACAATATCAATCTTACTTCCTATCCAAGAATATTATATGACTAATTATTTAGGTTTTTTTAATGTCTTTCAATAAAATTTTATAATACCATAAAGAGCTTATGTCTTTTGTTAGATTTATTCCTAGATACTTTATAATTTTTGTAGATAGTATCCTTTTTCTTTTTAAATGACATTTTTGGAGCTTTTGGCGCTGCTCTGTATTCTCTTCAAAAGGCCCTGGAAGTAAAATTTGAAGTTACTTTATCCTAAGTTGTATATAGTACCAGATCCACTTATTTAAGGAATTTGTCCATTTCGTCCAAATCATCAAATTTGTTGGGACGGTATTTTCTTAGTTTCTCTTTTTTCCATTTCATTGATTTCTACTTAATTTCGGTTAACTTTGCTCTTCTTTCCTTAGCTGCTTCTGGGAGAACCTAAGGTCATTGATTTTGGTCTTTCTTCTTTTCTAATATAAACACTTAAAGCTATAACTTTCCCTATAGCGCTGCTTTGGCTACATCTCACAAATTTGGATATGTTGTATTTTCATTATCTTACAGTTTGAAATACTTTCAAATTATTTTCCTTTCTTTTTTGTTACTCTACCTCCTCATCTCTACAAGTTCAGTTTGGGTCTTTTGTTTATATCTTCCATGTCTAGATAATTTTTTGAACATATGGAATACAGTTATTTTCACTGTTTTGATGTCCTTTTCTGCCAATTCTAGTATCTGTCAGTGGTTT